TAGTCAAAACGTGACCCTGCTTACCAGTATTTGAATTATGATTAAGGCTCAAAGAACAAACGAAAAACAACACAACAATTACTGCAGCTTTAATTCTTCAATTATTTAGAAATTACAACGTTTCTTCTGGCGAGGTATTGTACGTTGACAACAAAATGACAGTGTTGTAGTTTAGTGCATAGTTTGACATACCTTTCTTCAGAGCCAACATCAGGATACATTCTTGATTGCTTGTTTACTTTCTTGGTAACATGTGGATACTAATTTTTTCTAAAGTGACTTGTAGACTCCATTATGATATGGTACGGAGGTATTTGTGGTTCTTCTTCTTGGACCCTTGTTGTCTTTACGGTACGGTGACGTCAAAGGGACAGTGTTAATATGTTGTAGCTCAGTTCATTCTTTGACATATTTATCTTCACAGACAACATCGGGATTCGTTGTAGTTTCCTGATTGACTTCCTTGCTTACAAGTGGATACTCACCTTTTCTTAAGCGACTTTTAGACTCCATTATGATATGGTATGGAGGCTAAACTTAATCTACCTGTAGCCTTCATAACTGAAAACGTACCTTACGTCTTTCTTAGGTATATACTGCGATATGGCATTTACTTCACGTAGGTAACATATGGTACACGGATAGGATCTTGTATCAGAGTCATTCCTCCTTTACGTGCAGATGCCATCCTTACACTTCTGAGTGATGTCACAGCATGTGAAACTCTTCCCGACATTACAGCAGTCCTCCCCCGGGGGGCACGGGTGACTGGAGCACGTCAGGTGGATGGGAGGGGGGTTGGGGGGATCATACGTGCACCCCTGCCCCACACACCGGACCCCCGGGGGTATGGACGACGTGAACAGATCCAGGACGCACGTTTCCTGCATCGGGGCTGACTGGTTATACGGCCCGGCCCAGGTGGTTCCGAATAAAGGGCCCGTAACGTTGTGCACCGGGGGACCGTCTTTGTAGGTGATGTTACACTTTTCAACCAGAGGTTCGCAGCGACTTCTTGAGAGAACCGCCTTTACGTTGTTCTGTATCCAGGCGTTGTAATGTGCCCTGGTACTGTTGTCGCTCACGTCCATGAGGTAGCGAAGATTGCGTACAAAGATGCCCTTGAACATTATAGCATTATCATCACAACCCCCAGAGCCTTCGCAATACTCACGAAATATACCGCCCTTAGTGCTGTTTGCAATGGTAGCATTGGCTAGCTTGTGAGCTAGTGACAGATACGATGATTGGTTGGTAATGCGGTAGAGTTCAACTAGTCCTCCAATCAGCACACCGCTGTTATAAGTTGGTCCGAAGACTTTGTTTGCTGTGCAGTTTTTTGTCTTGTTGTTATAGTCCACTCCGTCTGATACGAGGTACGTATGAGGATCGACTAGTTGGTTCTGGACTATGTACTGCCATTGTTTGTTAACCTTCTTCAGTAGATCTTTATCTTTGAAACCTGTTAAACGGTAGAGGCGAGCGCCAAGTTGCAAAGTCTGCACATTTATAATGGTTTGTTTAAACCCTTTTTTATTTGAGCCCCACCACATGCCACCTGTACAGTTCCCGCTACTGTCCCAGCCCCCTGCCCAGTTGTGGTCGAAAATGTCCTTGGCAATGCTTAGGAATCTCTGGTCGCCAAAGATCTCGTAGATTCTCGCGTAGCTTAGGCCGAACCACGCCATGTCGTCGTATAATGGTTCGGGGGCGTAAGCCAACAAGAGGCTGTCTAAATAACGGAAGGAATTCTGGATGATACTGAGATGTCGTGTATTGTTTGTGTAATGCATGAAGTTGACGAGGGTTTCTAAAACGGCTCCATTTTGCCAGAACCCGTCAAATCCGTTCCATGTCTGTGGATGGATATGAAAATAATGATATGAGCATGGCGACCAGACAATACAAGCTATAGATACATGTACCTGCTATAGCTGGTCCTGCGCACGTTATATTGACGTCAATACGTACAGCCGCATCATTACAATGCAGGCATGGTTTAGTATGGTTCTTGAAGTGTTGACATGGGCCATTACACGTAGATCTGACTTTTAAAACAAATTTGGAGCTGGTGACACTCTGTATATGGCTTAAACACATTTTACATACAGACTATTTCACTACAGGTATATGTTTAAACGGGTTTGCATTCACGTTTACTGTTATTTGGCTGGTCATTAAATGTGAATTGTCCTTAAGCTTAACATCTGAATACACCGACTGTATATAGAGGCTCTGTTTGTTTAAGGTGCTAACCTGGTAGGAAAAGAAGCTGGCTAAAGGGTCTGGAAACCAGTTCCTCTGCAGCGCCAGTTCTGTCCGACAGGCCCAGAAGGCGTTCGAGCTGTTACCGAACATCTCCAGGGTACATGATGACGTGTTCTCCGGCTTTCCCAGCGCGGTGCTGGAGATAAGCACAAGCATAATAACGTAGGGTAGAGCAGGTATGGACGCCATGATGCTTACTGTGACAAGTGGCCCAAACAGTGTGTTATGACGACGACCTTTCACAGAAAGATCAAAGTACAGGTGTTGGTTACTCAAAGGCACTACAAATAGCGGTCTGAAATTTGAGAGATCGATAAAACAAATGGGATGTACCTGTGATATTTTATTGAAGCTCAAAATATGCTACAGACAATAAGTTGTTTAGGTGGACTCAAGACAAATAAACTACTGTAATTAACAGGTCCCTACAGATAAAAACATCTCGTACGATCAACTCTGCAGTTAACCGCAAGGTGCACGTGACGTTGGTCTACGTGGAAAAAACTGTCGACCTTCAAGTTGTTCACTTATATGAATAGATCAGGAAATGATAGAACAGTTAATACTAATTTCATAATATTGGTGAGGATAGCTGATGTGTACTGTTGTGTTTATTGGCACGGTAGTTTACAAGTTACCGAAGGGCCCCCGTGCGACTGCCGGGATCGTGTACTTTACGTAGGTGATATCTGGCACATGCACAGTACACAGTATAGAATCTTTTATCAGAGTCATTCCTCCTTTACGTGCAGATGCCATCCTTACACTTCTGAGTAATGTCACAGCATGTGAAACTCTTCCCGACATTACAGCAGTCCTCCCCCGGGGGGCACGGGTGACTGGAGCACGTCAGGTGGATGGGAGGGGGGTTGGGGGGATCATACGTGCACCCCTGCCCCACACACCGGACCCCCGGGGGTATGGACGACGTGAACAGATCCAGGACGCACGTTTCCTGCATCGGGGCTGACTGGTTATACGGCCCGGCCCAGGTGGTTCCGAATAAAGGGCCCGTAACGTTGTGCACCGGGGGACCGTCCTTGTAGGTGATGTTACACTTTTCAACCAGAGGTTCGCAGCGACTTCTTGAGAGAACCGCCTTTACGTTGTTCTGTATCCAGACGTTGTAATGTGCCCTGGTACTGTTGTCGCTCACGTCCATGAGGTAGCGAAGATTGCGTACAAAGATGCCCTTGAACATGATAGCATTATCATCACAACCCCCAGAGCCTTCGCAATACTCACGAAATATACCACCCTTAGTGTTGTTTGTAATGGTAGCATTGGCTAGCTTGTGAGCTAGTGACAGATACGATGATTGGTTGTTAATGCGGTAGAGTTCAACTAGTCCTCCAATCAGCACGCCGCTGTTATAAGTTGGTCCGAAGACTTTGTTTGCGGTGCAGTTTTTTGTCTTGTTGTTATAGTCCACTCCGTCTGATACGAGGTACGTATGAGGATCGACTAGTTGATTCTGGACTATGTACTGCCATTGTTTGTTAACCTTCTTCAGTAGATCTTTATCCTTGAAACCTGTTAAACGGTAGAGGCGAGCGCCAAGTTGCAAAGTTTGCACATTTATGATGGTTTGTTTAAACCCTTTTTTATTTGAGCCCCACCACATGCCACCTGTACAGTTGCCGCTACTGTCCCAGCCCCCTGCCCAGTTGTGGTCGAAAATGTCCTTGGCAATGCTTAGGAATCTTTCGTCGCCAAAGATCTCGTAGATTCTCGCGTAACTTAGGCCCCACCACGCCATGTCGTCGTATAATGGTTCGGGGGCGTAAGCCAACAAGAGGCTGTCTAAATAACGGAAGGAATTCTGGATGATACTGAGATGTCGTGTATTGTTTGTGTAATGCATGAAGTTGACGAGGGTTTCCAAAACGGCTCCATTTTGCCAGAACCCGTCAAATCCGTTCCATGTCTGTGGATGGATATGAAAATAATGATATGAGCATGGCGACCAGACAATACAACATGATACAGCTATAGATACCTGCTATAGCTGGTCCTGCGCACGTTATATTGACGTCAACACGTACAGCCGCATCATTACAATGCAGACATGGTTTAGTATGGTTCTTGAAGTGTTGACATGGGCAATTACAAGTAGATCTGACTTTTAAAAAATTTTGGAGCTGGTGACACTCGGTATATAGCTTAAACAAATTTTACATACAGACTATTTCGCTACACGGAGGTTAATGTTTAAACGGGCTTGCATTCACGTTAACTGTTATTTGGCTGGTCATTAGATGTGAATTGACCTTAAGCTTAACATCTGAATACACCGACTGTATATAGAGTCTCTGTTTGTTTAAGGTGCTAACCTGGTAGGAAAAGTAGCTGGCTAAAGGATCGGGAAACCAGTTCCTCTGCAGCGCCAGTTCTGTCCGACAGGCCCAGAAGGCGTTCGAACTGTTACCGAACATCTCCAGGGTACATGATGACGTGTTCTTCGGCTTTCCCAGCTTGGTGCTGGAGATAAAAACAAGCACAACAACGTAGGGAAGACCAGGTATGGACGCCATGATGCTTACTGTGGCAAGTGGCCCAAACAATGTGTAATGACCTTTCACAGAGAGATCAAAGTACATGTTTTAGTTACTTAAAAGCACTACAAATAGCGGCCTGAAATTTGAGAGATCGATAAACAAATGGGGATATACCTGTGCGATATTTTATTGAGGCTGAAATATGCTACAGACAATAATGTAGTTTAGGTGGACTCAAGACAAATAAACTACTGTAATTAACAGGTGTCCCTACAGATAAAAACATCTCGTACGATCAACTCTGCAGTTAACCGCAAGGTGACGTTGGTCTACGTGGAAGAAACTGTCGACCTTCAAGTTGTTCACTTTTAGATGAATAGATCAGGAAATGATAGAACAGTTAAAACTGAGTTAAAAATGAGCACATGCACAGTATAGAATCTTTTATTAGAGTCATTCCTCATTTACGTGCAGATGCCATCCTTACACTTCTGAGTGATGTCACAGCATGTGAAACTCTTCCCGACATTACAGCAGTCCTCCCCCGGGGGGCATGGGTGACTGGAGCACGTCAGGTGGATGGGAGGGGGATTGGGGGGATCATACGTGCATCCCTGCCCCACACACCGGACCCCCGGGGGTATGGACGACGTGAACAGATCCAGGACGCACGTTTCCTGCATCGGGGCTGACTGGTTATACGGTCCGGCCCAGGTGGTTCCGAATAAAGGGCCCGTAACGTTGTGTACCGGGGGACCGTCTTTGTAGGTGATGTTGCACTTTTCAACCAGAGGTTCGCAGCGACTTCTTGAGAGAACCGCCTTTACGTTGTTCTGTATCCAGAGGTTGTAATGTGCCCTGGTACTGTTGTCGCTCAATTCCATGAGGTAGCGAAGATTGCGTACAAAGATACCCTTGTACATTAATGCATCGTCGTCGCAACCCCCAGAGTCTTCACAATACTCACGAAATATACCGCCCTTAGTGCTGTTTGCAATGGTAGCATTGGCTAGCTTGTGAGCTAGTGACAGATACGATGATTGGTTGTTAATGCGGTAGAGTTCAACTAGTCCTCCAATCAGCACGCCGCTGTTATAAGTTGGTCCGAAGACTTTGTTTGCTGTGCAGTTTTTTGTCTTGTTGTTATAGTCCACTCCGTCTGATACGAGGTACGTATGAGGATCGACTAGTTGGTTCTGGACTATGTACTGCCATTGTTTGTTAACCTTCTTCAGTAGATCTTTATCCTTGAAACCTGTTAAACGGTAGAGGCGAGCGCCAAGTTGCAAAGTTTGCACATTTGTGATGGTTTGTTTGGAACCTTTGGTGTAGTCGAACCACATGCCGCCTGTACAGTTACCGCTACTGTCCCAGCCTCTCATCCAGTTGTGGTCGAAAACGTCCTTGGCACTGCTCAGGAAATTCTGGTCGCCAAAGATCTCGTAGATTCTCGCGTAGCTTAGGCCGAACCACGCCATGTCGTCGTATGAAGGTTCGGGGGCGTAAGCCAGTAAGAGATCGTCCAGATATCGGAAGGAATTCTGGATGATACTGAGATGTCGTGTATTGTTTGCGTAATGCATAAAATTGACGACAGATTCCAAAACGGCTCCATTTTGCCAGAAACCGTCAAATCCGTTCCAAGTCTGTGGATAGAATAGTCAAAATGATAAGAAAATTACGAAAAGACAACACAACACGAAAATCATGAAAAGACAATACAACACGTTGCAACATGGTATCGTTGACCTTGTGCGCAATATGAAATCAGCTTCGACATGCACATTTGCATAATTACAATATTAACATTTAAGTTATACATATGACAATTTTGATTTGACTGATGGCAGCTTTGAGATATTTCACATACAGACTATTTCAGAATACACTGATATGTTTTTTGTTTTTTTTGGTTGGTAAGTCATTGAGTAAAGAGTCTTTTTATTCAGACGACGTTTCGGTGACCGTCTGTCACTTTCCTCAGGGCAATTCTGACTGGTTCACATTGCACTGCAGCACAGGTGTTGCCGCTACAGATGGCTTCAAAAAAGTACAATATTTACATGTTTACACATATGCGTAGTATAGTCAGAATTGCCCTGAGGAAGACGGTCACCGAAACGTCGGCTGAAGAAAGACTTGTTTGTGTAAAAAGATTTTCTTTACTGTGTATACAGTCCCTGTGCTAACCTGGTAGGAAAACAGCCCGGCTATGGGGTCAGGAAACCAGTTTCTCTGCAGCGCCAGTTCTGTCCGACAGGCCCAAAAGGCGTTCGAGCTGTTACCGAACATCTCCAGGGTACATGATGACGTGTTATCCGGCTTTCCCAGCGCGGTGCTGGAGATAAACACAAGCACAATAACGTAGGGAAGACCAGGTATGGACGCCATGATGCTTACTGTGACAAGTGGCCCAAACAATGTGTAATGACCTTTCACTGAGAGATCAAAGTACAGATGTTAGTTACCCAAACGCACTACAAATAGCTGCCTGAAATTTGAGGGATACAAAAAATTAGATGTCTTGTTTTGTTGAGGCTCAAATATCCCGCAGACAATATTGTGCTTGAGGTAGACTCAAGGACAAATGACCTGTTGTAATTAACAGGTGTCAGATACCGAACATCTCGTGCGATCAACTCGGTAATAAACCGCTAGGTGGCGCTCGTCTATAAGAAACATGCGGATTTTATATGCAGATGACCTAAGTAAGGATAGCTGAGCTGAGGCGTACTGCTGTGTTTGTACTGAAATGTGCACGATGTATTATAGGTTTGAACACAACATTAACAGTTATAAACAGTTTATAAAAGTTATAAACTATACGGGCAAAAAAACTAAATTAATGAAATGGACATAGTACATTTTCCTACTATTTATGATTTATTTGACGCATATTTGAGGGAAACCCCGTTGACATTCTTATTGTCCGGTTGTCAGAAATATAGCCCATCACTTTGCACAAGGCCTTAGATGGCAAAAAACTCAATGACATGGACCTAGCCTTTCCCCACTATTCATGATTTATTTGATACACATTTGATGGAAACTTCTAAGACCACGCCGACATTTTTATTGCCCCTTTGTCAGAAATATACCCCATCATTTTGCACAAGGCCGTACGTGATCGACACGTCTTTTAAGGACCATCTTGGGAGCAATATCTCCTTATTTATGAACAGAGACTTGACAAGTGTTTGTGAAATAGGACATGTATTGCATGGCTAATGACCACATGGCACCCGTTACTATAGCACAGGCATGTTTTCAATAGTGCGTAAGTATAAAAGGGCCTTTGATGAATTTGTCAAATAAAAGGTAGAGCATATCAGCATAGTGATGCTTAGGTCACAGTTGGTAAAGGGGGCCCCACCGGGTACTTCTTTTCACGTCTTCCATGGTTTACTAAAGAAAAGTCAAACCCTTCATACATAGTTCTATACATAACTATAGTTTGTTTACCTTGTGTTATTATGTAGATTTTAAAGTTATTTTGTACCCTGTTTCAATGTTCTTATGTCTTTGTTATTTGCAATTAACCTTCGGGCAGGAATTTGCAATAAACTCATCGGTAACTATAGTACTAGTAGTTCATGAGTTTTTTTTTCTTTCGGTCGTGAACCCGAGGGAACAACTGTGGTTTCCCGGATCTTTCTGGGACGGCCAGGCTCTTGAATTTTTTTCAAGTGGGTTTAAAATCTAGTTCTGTCAACTCTTGCCTTTATAATGGCTCTCAAAAGAGGATTGATAAGGAATATTAATGAGAAAAAGACTGTGTTTGCGTCATACTATATTTCATCAAAGAAAAACGCCACAAAGCGCCGCACACGGCTTTATTTCCAAGGTTACGCCGGTCTCGGAATCCCTGTGGCTGATGGATTTTTTTCTACGACGTAATCAGATTATTCTTCTCTATACATCCGTGCAGCACTCTAAATAAGGCGTGTGAAAAAAGTTCACGTAAGATTTAAGTGAAGCGGAACACTGTATTGTTCTTTGGGGAGCAAGCTAAAAATCTTTCTTGAATTTACAATATAACCTGTGAAAATAGCTATTGTGTTGTTTTATTAATATTCTGACGTAATGTGATACAGTCAGCTAGAGTACAACGCAACCCCAGTTAGAGTATTCTGATTTTCTGACTTGAAATCAAAGCCGAGTCATCTGATACATAGCATCTTGGATTGTTGGTAGCGTCTTTTATGTCCTTTATTTGGCTGTAATTCACTTATGTACCCTGGATGTGTCGGATTGTGTGTATTGGGCGTGAGAAGTGCTAAAGTATCCCCGCACACTGGCATGGCGCAACGCTACACAGGTATGGAACGTTTTGTTATATTTCCCATGGGTAGGAAGACTTGACAGTGCTGTCAAACCTTCAGGTATACAATGGGGTTGTCAGTTTGTAGCTGTGGTAGTTTCCATTACGGGTGCACAGAGCTTGCATTGTTGGAAGACGTGGAAAAGACTCCACTTATATGGGGGAGGGGGGCTAGTGCTACCTATATTGTGCTATACGGCTATCTATAAATTCATTGCTGTAGGTGACCTGTTATTTATCCATTCATAAAGATATAGGCCTGTCTCTTTTTATAGTGCTCATTATGCAGTCAATAAATTATTTCAGTAGCTAGTAACTTAGAGTAACACAAGTAGCATGAAAGCTATTTTGGTATAAACATGCCGCATTTCTATGCTGCTAGGTTCAAAGTCAAAAACTCTCATAGCGTTTCTGGCACTGGATAATGATTCTTTTGCGTTGCCAGGTTCTCATAAATTGTAGATATTACGAAGCAATGATATTTTACACCCTCAAACAAGATTGCATTGTAAAGATTGCATGTGCAATTACCATTTTAAAACGTCTACAGTTGAAGTGAAGTTTTCAAAATACCTGTCAGTTTGTGTTTAAAAAAGCGTCATGGAAATACTGATAATAACGTTGTATTTAGTTTTAACATGCCTTTGTTGAATACATTGAATCTTCACGTGTCCCCTGTCAAATATGATATCGATCGACAGCACTATGGCACTGATTTTCCTATGACCTGATAAGCGATTCTTTCTTCGAGACGTTACGCTTTCAGTAAGTCAAAACACTTTATTTACTGCACACGTATCAAGGGACCTATAGTACAGCACTCCCTTTGTTCTTCATGATTATTACTATGAAGTATTTTTGGCTAAATTGTGCTACATTCAAAATCCCCACGTCTTATTTGTTGTCTGTATAAAGCACTCTGCTTTATATGTGGTCGACATGATATATTATTAATCTAATTGCCTACAATATATGGCAAGTGGTGTAGCCTAAATAGATGAAGCAGAGCAATCAAGTGGACATCACGGCTCATCCCCTTTTGCATAATGCACGTAATCTGTCTTACCGGTCCATCTCCCAACTTCCGCTGATCCTTACTAAGCTCTTTAACTCCGGATAAGTAGGTTAAGGGACTGAGAAAGAAAGCTGTTTAAGTACTGCGGTCATCTTGTAACGATTATGCCAAGTGGTATCAGAAAACTTTATTATTTGCATTCATTTATCTAAAACATCTGTTATTTACAAAGTTGTCCAAATCATATATAGACTCTGTGTTTATCACTGTAACATCACTTCAGGGCATATATATCAGGACACTCTACCCATAAGTTAACGAGACGGTGGACGATATAAACTCCCTGGCAAGTTTAATCAATTGCTTACGTGACGTATCCGTAAAGTCTCATGTGAATAAAGCCACGTGTCTGCAACCGTAACTCTCGCGAGATTACGTTTTGACGGTGATTGGTCATAAATTATCCTGATGAAGGCGACAGTGGTCGTTGAAAATCTGATCTTTGTGTAATCCTTGTGTTGGAATAAAATTCAACATTTTACTATGATTACTACCAACGCAGGTGAACTTTCGTGATAATCATTTCAGGGCACTGCGACAATGATCAGTACTCCCGGCACGGAGTAAGTCGGACTGCTTGAATGACTCCAATAAGATACTCATTGATTCTTGCCGGCTGTGAGACAGGATTAACGACGTAGTGGCGAGCGTCTGTCGGCGGGATGTACATCATTATACCGATCTCAGTCACTAGAGTCCGTGTCATCTTTTCTAAGAAACGATTTTGAACAATTAAAGCGTGCAGTTTCTATGCCTTGCAAATTATGCATGGTATTAAGGACAATAAAATGAAGCCTCCAGTCTTGGATATGTTCACTAATTAAGTCTGTGAACCGAAATAAAAATGTTCCGTGAAGGTAGGTTTACATGCATTAATATATATATCACGTAGCGTGGCGCATATGGGAATATGGGATTGCTATCACTAAGATCTGTGCGCGAGGTGTGTGCACTTAAGTGTGGGCATCACATTTAAGTGCATACTGGGGAGGGGGCCAAGCGTCACATGCTGTCAGAGATTGAAAGATGCTCAGAGCATTCTGTAGACTTTTGATGACTTTGTGTATAACTAAAACTAATATAATGATATGAGATGGAATTTTATGATTGATGAAATATGCATGCTGTTGTTGATATTAGACATGGCCTATTTTGCTTTGATCTTTATGACGTAACGTCATAAAAACGTTGACCTCTGACCTTTATTCAGAGACAATTAACTCAGGTATTTACTTCCCGGTTACGTTGACGAATTGGGCACGAACCAAGATGGCGGACATTCCGACATTTTGTCATGCGTGTCCCTGGATCCCTTTATCAGCCGTTAACACCTTTCTAACATCCCAAAGGCGATTACCAGTCTAGCAGTTACATATTCCCCCTACGTAATGTTTCAAGGTGCCAATGTAGTTTTTAGGATTCAAATAACAATTTTTTTCCAGAGTCAATATTTTAGTCACTTTACTGTGCCTTGCCACTTATCTACATACTATTAGTAAATTGAAACAATACTATCCTAATGATATTCACTATAATAATTACTACCACTTCTATATGCAGCAAAAATGCCGAAATTGTGACTGAAAACGGGTACTGGTAGGATCCTGGGCTGATTTTTAGAGTATCGCCAAGAAAATAAAGGGCTCATCTTGGGGCTTGTTTTTTGCCACTGTTTCATATGTCCAAAGTATGAAATACTGATGCAAATGTGGGGCAGTATGTGTCAATCTACAGATTTCCTTAATCAGAATATTCCAGTTTTGCTGCCCCGAAATTGCATTGGATGATGCCTTTGAAAAGATATTCATTCCGATACGTGTTGAAAGTAGCAATGTGTTCTCCTCATTGTTTTCTTCCTTTCTGATATGCCCTTTGGGTTCTACATGTCATCTTTTATTAGCGTCTAGAGGGCGTAGTATGTTGCACTTATTACCTTAAGTGAAGTCTATATGATTTAAAATGTGGCTTAACCTAGGTTAGATACAATGTACTTACTAGTAGTCCCTAAGACACTTACGTTATTCTTTTACCATTGTATCCTATATTTAATGTTACTTAGTATGGTCTACATGTAAGATCATACGTATACCCTGATGCCTGCATTTAGCCCAATGGGCATGAACATGCAAATAAATGTACTCAGTGTAAGAACCCAGTTATGTAGAATGTAGGAGATACTGAAAGGTGAATGGCCGAAATCTTTAATAATGAGAACGATAACATGAAGCCACTGTCCTACAGTAACCTCTACGTACAGACCCTTAAATATCCTCGCACGAACGGCGATGTTTCCAGCTACCTGCACACGTTTTACTTGTAAACTGTTCGGGTGTTTATGAGGCCATGATTTCTATCGTATACGTAAGCACTGTTTCGCTTCACCATAAATTGTACTGATCTCCACAAGACTCCTTTGCATGCTGAATAAATAGTAGAAATCGTCATAAAAATGGGATATAATTGGCCATGAAAGTTGGCACGTGCAGGCAAATGGACCTTCTCTGGCTGGGTAACTTCCATGGCCAATTATATCCCATTTTTATGCCGATTTTTACTATTTATTCAGCCTGCAAAGGAGTCTGGCGGGGACTAAAATTGTACCGTTTTAACTGTTTCTCCCACAATGTTATAGCTACCCATAATAAAATAGACGTGTGTGGTACACATCACTCTTATCCAAGTGCTATATGGGCAATGCTTTTATTCATAACGATATCAAACAATCAGCAATATTTCACACAGTAAGATTTTATAAGGGCGTTATGCTTCAGTAGGGCATCCGAACGGTTTCTTATAACTATTTTTGGCAGGGAAGCCAACGAATATTGACGCCCAAGGGTACAGTTCCGTTTTAATAACAGGCGCTAAGATTAAAACGCCGTTTCCAATTTACCGGTGGAGGTACTTGGAATAATAGCCGTTGATGAGTTGAATGGTGATGTAGAGGTAGCATTAACTTGCATGTGGTATTACAGGCGTATGGAGACGATTTCGATATATGTATTGAATGTTTGAATTTCTTCCGTTTTATGCAGTGGTATTGGAAAGGAGTGTTCCATGAAGTTGCATTGTACATGGGTATTCCATGTAGTTGAATTGTACAGGGTGTTACATGTAGCTAAATTGTACAGGGGTACTACATGTACAGTGTAGTTGCATTGTACAGGGATGTTACATGTACAGTGTAGTTGCATTATACAGGAGTGTTCCATGTAGTTGAATTGTACAGGGGTGTTACATGTAGTTGAATTGTAAAGGGTTGTTCCATGTAGTTGCATTGTACAGTGATGTTACATGTAGTTAAATGTACAGGTCCAGGCCTGGAATGATAAAGCACAAGATTTACAAAAGAGCTGAAATTTTACGAAGGTATGAGATCTCCGAGCTCTTTTTCAACAGCAGCTGCGCAGCAGACAAAATTCACTGCGTAGAATGATGTCATCTACATATATAAGATTGACTTACTTTGACCTTAAGTAATAACGCTGGGGATGACATATTGGCAGGATATAATTTTTTACCATTTCCGTAATGGAGATGGTACTATGAGATAACCATGCCTCCCAGGCCCCGCTAATGTTGTAAAGAAGCGAGTGACGCACGCGAAACGGTATCTCTGTTAAACCACTGATAGTGAAATGTGGTGATGGTGATGGCGGGCTGGTTAGAACTGAAAAGAACCTAGTAACTCAACCATATATAGCTATACAATTTATGCCCGCTATACTTTGGCTTTTACTACTTCGGAAAGGTGTACTAAACGTTTGAACATAAGTTATATGGAAGGTATAAGCCCATAAAATGAACGTTATTGCATCCACACGCAAATAAATCAATTAAGACAAATTATCTATCATAAATAACAATGAATAGCAAGGATTCTCATCCCCTCGAATACCTTTATTATTTTTGCAATCTGAAAAACGGATTCGACTAAATGAGGATCCACCTGCATGATATATGCAGAAGTTTTTTGTTGGTCTGATGCCTATCACATGTTTAGGTTCAGGAAACGGATCCGTGACTGAGTGAAATGTTTCACCACTTTCCACACCTAATCCTGCACTCTACGTGCTTCCCGAATGCCTGCTAATGTCGTCAGCCAGGCGATATCCGAGTCAAACCTTGTTACAGAAAACTCCATTCCCTCTTGGTCAATCATCAGCGAGGAAGGGTGTTATTTACCTAGCTAGAGTCTAGAGAGAACGCCCTACTTTCTCTGACTCTCTCTGACCTCCCCTCAGCACGAAGCGAGCCAGCTGTGCTCAGTTTGTGTCAGACTATTTGGTAAACACGAACCTCTCCTTCAGTGACCCAACTTCCGTAAGGTCGTGTGTTTATACATTCACGCCTGACCGACAGAGGTCAAGACAATAAAGTGTTCCGCGGTGTACCTTGTGAGGGGAAGTCATGATAAATATGTATAACCATCGCCGAAGGGACTCAGATGAAAAAGACAAATCGAACGCGGGTCGATTGACATGTAGTTACAGTAGGCTCAACACAAGTCCTTCATCCCCAGACGGCCTGTAACCTTGACTCTCGCGTTTGAAGAATGCGTTGGCCCTTATCAGGCCGTACTCAGATGGGCACGATATGCAGTACTTTGTGGATTTATGCATGTTTTCAACGCAGCTTGTGCAAGACTGATGTCCTTTCGACAAATAGAGTGTTGGGATCGTACTAGGTTCTCTGACCTGTTGTGTCAAGCCTGGCTGTAGGCTGTGATTAACAGTAGAGGTCACCCAGCGGACAAAGATATGTCTGCCACTCGGGCGGGCAACAGGTCGCATTCAGCCGTGCTTACGTGCCGCGCCTTCTAGCCAGGCTTCCGACAACTTGTATATTGTTGTTTCATGAAGCCAGGCGATGGTATCTCAGGCTCTGTATCGGATCTGCTCTGAGTCTGTCAGGGTTTTTTGAGGCATAAAAAGCGAGCAAAATTAGTCCACGCCCGCGCCGCCTACTCGTAAGGCAATCGGCTGACGGTATCGTCGGATGAATTGATTTCGGCAAATGGAAGGATCCAAATAATTTCCTCGTTAGAGAGCGGGAACCCTGCAACTGGCTGGTATATCGGCGATAACGTATTCATTAAGGTATCTGCTTAAAGCTTTGCTAGGCTTACAGTTAATATAATCCCGGTGGTGACTACGCAAGAGTACCGAGCTCTGACGTGGACTGTTGATAATTTGCCTTCGGCAGAGTCGCGAGGCTGCATCAATCAGGATTTAGGTTTCCAGCCCGGCGGACGTGTATGATGCCGTGTGACAAGACTTCGCAGCGGCTCAGGTAGTCTGTATGAGCGGTGCAGATCGGCTTAAGTCTGGGGATATGTTCCAGAAGAGCGTGCACACAGCAAAGGGCTACCTGTAGGATTGCCGCACCTAGTTTGTAACACCCGTCAGTCCCCCGTTCACTGATGTACAACAAGGCTTTATTCTTTGACGGGATGGAAGGAAGAGGATCGTTCCGAAATTTATTCCGACATGAAAGCTACAGTCATGAGGATGTTAGCCCGCCGCCGGTCCGGCCTAGAGGTAATGTCATAACACTAATGTCCCCTATCAGTATTATCTATAGGTACATGTAGATTACAAATTGACTCCAACACTATAAGGGATTTTCGTAAATACTGACATCAGTGTTCTAAGGCGGGTATAATTGGTATGTATACTGAATGTAGGGCAAAAGTGGGAGCGCAGATTGGCGGTAATTTTGTAATGATAGATAATAAAAACGCTTAACTGCCTGCTGTTTGATACATCAAATATCGTGTTTCTCACGTAGCAGTCTTGTGGATCCTTGTTGATTATAATTTGGATATCTGTGGTACGTATTATCTACGGTATTTTGGTACTGCCTGGAATTTCTGAGTAGATTGGATATTATATATATAATAAGAACCAGTGGATGGCGGGTTTTAGTAGTGGTAGAAAGACTAATGTCAAATGTAGAGCATGCAGACTTTTGGTGAAGGGGGCATGGTAAAGAAATAAACTTACCGCGCGTTGGGGGGGGGGGGTAACAAAGACGGCATAGGCTACGAGCAATGTATGAACGCCTGAACGGAAGGCATTGAAACTAGTAAAACACTACAGTATCCCCCCTCTCAATATCATTCTTGATTTACCCTAGTATCTCACAACAAAGACGTCACTGTTCACAGCACATTAAATTCATGGTCGTATATTTTCTCCCAAATGACCTGTAACCTAGGAACAGGATAACATACGTACACAGGAGTTTGCGCTTGGACTGGTTTTAAACATACATTTGCAGCCCACTCATATCAAGGAACACGTTGCTTTAATTCCACATTAGTATACATGCATATCATGTTTCAAAATATAATTTAGCGGGGGATCTTCATAACTTGTCTTAAGACCTTCTCGATACCAGTTTCTAAGATGTAGAATCATGTAGTGATTGACCTTGGCGCCTTTCTCAACAATGTGCTAATTCTACACGGCACATGTTTACCAAACCTGTCAGTTATCACCTACGGGAATGTGTGCAGGCCAGCTGAAAGTCATTGACCAAGCTAGATGCAAAGAACAGTCTCCACATATCAGGACGTTTGCATTGTGTAAAATTCAGTGGAAAACGTTTAAAACTACAACAGGTGGGAGATTGAATTTCTTCTTCCGATATAAACACTTAGATCACGAGGTACATGTTTTTTAAACGGCTCCACACTGCCGACGAACTTTGGCCGAATTTTTGGTCGAATTTTTTGAATGCCAGCCAGAAGGTCAACGAATGTCAAAATTACTACATCGAGAGTGTTTTGTCCTGAAATTTTACCTTCTTGGGAAAAGAATGGACGGACCTCCGTAACCTGCGAACATCATCCAATCCCTAGAAATCCGACGCACTGCGGTAGTTAAGATAGTCTAGGTGCCAGACTCTTGCCGAGGGCCAGTTTACCGGCTAGCTCCCCGGCTGCAGCGACAACCTGTTCCAAAGGACATTCTCACAGGGTCTCAGACTAGCCTGGGTGCCAGACCTCAGCATACTAGGCTCAAACCTTGCACACACAGGATAACTTACTTTGAGCCTAGTGTGCTGTGGGTCTGGCACCCAGGCTACAGTTAGAGACATCTAACTGGAGACTGACTGCATGGGAACCGTCTGGTATCCAGGCTATTGTTGAAACAAAACCGGCCTTTTCTGTTGTCGAAGTCTCCTTTGAGCTCGCAGATTCCTTGAAGCTTGGGGTGAATCGAATTATTTTCCTGTTCTTTCCTGACGATGGCTTTGGGAAGACTTGTAATTTCTGTACACTGAAAATGGATGACAGCTGACGTCTCTCTATTTCCCCGTTCCCTAGATTAGATAACGTCCACTGCGGGAAGTTGTTACCGATATGCGTTCTTGGCGTGTGCACGCATACATAAAGGGTCACCCCCCGTAACGTTAATTTAGTCTGATAGCATCTTTACCGGCAATACTACAACTAAACCGTCTACACAACCCCCGCTTATTCAATTAAAACGGGCGACACGGAGAGACCTCGCGGGTGATTTCATCATTCCGCCGCCGAAAGACGATCCAAAAGACACAGACAAACGGACAAAAACGCGGCATCGACTGTAGAAGGCATGTCCTTAGCAAGGAGGTTAATTGTTTTTGGTTGCGTTTGGCTGTAACCTGAAATCCTGACTGTTGCCAAGGCCTACACAGGTCAGGTCTTCGGAACCAGAGCCAAGTGAACATGCTTTGAGGATAGCGTCTTCCGAGGAAATTTTACCTGGATCCCATAAGGGTTGTTTGCTAGAAAAGTTACCGTAGTGAGTTCGGTATAACAGGCGAGGATGGAAGCTAGGAATACTGGGGAAACCTAGCATACAGCCCTGGTAGAGACTGCTAGTCAGGTCAGTTTGTTTGCTGTCAGTGTCAGTGCCAGTCTCAGTCTCTCCCTCCCTCTCTCTCTCTCTCTGTCTCTCTGTCTCTCTGTCTCTCTCTCTCTTCCAAACTTAGGAGATGGTTAGTGGTAATCCATAGATGTGTATTTTCCTAGGGTTAGAGACAGATTTGGATTGAAGAGTTTGTTTGCAGGACAACTCACTGAACATCTATGTGTTTTATTGTTCACACAGCATAACATAGTACAACGCTGTCTATTTTAGTGGATATAAAAGATATGACATATTAGCCTTGATGTACTTAATGTAGCAATGGATGGTGGATACTAATTTTCTGGACGTACCTTTATATCTAGTCAGTTTGATTCAACCATCTTGCATGTATACCGATACTCAGAGAGTCATTGTTTTGCTTGAATCTTTCTTGAAAAATTAAAAACTAATTACAATCAAATCAAATTTATGATGCATACAACCTGTAGGCATATTTATTTAGTAGTACCACTCAAAAATAATTGGCCCATGATTGTTCTTGAAATATGAAAAAACGATACAAGTATACTAAAAATGTCTGTACATTGTCTGACAATTTTATAATGCAGAATCTTTTTTTTCTATAATGCAGAATCTTGTTTCCCTAAATCCTACACTGAGCACTTTAACACATGCCAGACTCCGTACGTGCTTTGTTAATCTGCAGCTCGTGTTGTTCTTACCCCCTGCTTATGACCGGCTCAGTGAGTTTGATCTTCCGGAGCCACGTTTGATTGAACACAGGCCACCTGTTAATGAGTTAGTTCAGGGTCGTGTTTTCACGGCATTATTAAACACGTGGCAAGGCAAACAACTGTCCTTGATGATATATGTTTGCATCGTCACTCTTGGATTAAAGGCATCCAGAGCAGTTTTTAGGGCTCGGGAACCCGATTTTTCAAAGTCAATATTCTAGTCATTTATCTACATGCTGAGTTGAAACCACACTATCTCAATGTATATTGACTCTCATGAAGCGACAATTCCCAAAATTCTGACAGAAATTGGTTACTGGAAGGGCCCTTGGCTGATTTTTAGGGTGCCACCCATAAAAGATGCACCTTGGGGCTTGTTTTTGCAGTTTTAAATACCCGAAGTATGAAATACTGATCGAAATGTGCTACTGTGAAGCAGAATGTGGCAATATCATGCAGATTGCCTTATTCATAATATTTCCAGTTTTGCTGCTGACAGTAGGTAAAAAAGTCCCATGGCGTTTTTAGGCCCTAGGAGAAGTCCACTACATATCTAGGGTACGATCTCTACGTCCACCACCTTTTACCTCCCCAACCGCCTATTCTACCTGAGAGTTGCGTAAAGTGCCAAAAACACAAGGACTGGGCAGGAATGCGAGAAATCGAACCCGTGATCTCTGTGTGAGCTATCTTAAACCAAACCACTCGGCCATTTGACGCCATGGCCACATGGCTAAAATTTAGACTTCACGTCGATACAATCTTAGCCCATCCGGATTTTGGCTCCAGAACGCTCGAATCGTGATTTTTTTCAAGTGTTGCTGAGCCAGAATCCGGTGGTACCCAGGCTGATAAGATCCAGGGGTATACACTACATGTACGTCACTGATCACATTACATTGTCATCATCTGATATTAGCTTCTACACTTACACGAATTGTCATTAGAAAGCGTGGGCTGTAACACACGACAGTTCTGAACATGCATGGGCGTACGTGTCTGTAAAAATGTACAGATACTATTAGATTAACTGATATAGATAGGAAGGTACATACTAAAAAATAGATTTAGATAGACATTAGTTAGATAGATTAAATACGCTGGGATATAGATAGATACACATTATAATCAGATAGATACATAGTGTGGCATAAATACGTAGATGTATAAAGATAGAGATTAAAAGAGGGAAATAATGAAATTGGACAATGATTTACTTGACAATGAATCTGCATCGAATCCCCCACATACAAAGATTACCACAGTTATACATCATTTATACACATGGCTTCTTTCTTGAAGAGTACATGTGTAGACTCCTTCAAGCTGTAGAAAGGGTGGATTTCCATATAAACGAGCGACATGCATGAATGGTTCAATGCAATTTCCTGCCGTGTCAGGCAATGTCTAAACATCTGAATTGAGTAAGTAAAGGTCGAGGACTGTTCGCACGTACGCACACCTACACGTACACCCACACAAGCTTACCCAAGTACGGAGGTATTGTTTTCGGCGTGTTTACGTGTGTGTGTGTTTGTTTGTTTGTTGTTTGTGTGCCATAGGTTGTAGAGTGGCAGGACGAGAGGGGGTACGACGTCACTCCAAGTTACTCCTAGTGGCTGCAAGACACTCAGGGCTTGTCACTATATGGTAGCTTCGTGCACTTTCTGTCTTTCAGTCTGTGAGGCTTTTGTCCTCAGAGGCCCCTTTTTAGTAAGTCAGACCATCTCTTTGATTGTGGCAATAAATTCTCAAAAACCTAAGGTACTTGTTGGAGGTTTTCAAATCTCCAATTTCCTCTTTATTACTTGTTTGTGTGATAAAAGTCAGTGTTGGAAGTGATCAAGGACTAATCAAGATAAAAACATCATATTAGACTCCATACTACGTAAATCTACGTTTTATCACAGGCTTCTATAACATGTGGTACACGATTATGATTGCAGAGACATATAATAGAAATAAAATGGTATCCGACTACATAAATCCTAACCATACACCCACGAGCTTTTCCATTGACTTATTATGATATCTTGGAAACTTCATAATTCTAGAGGGACCTGCATAACAGTTGTCCTCATTAAATTTGATGAATATAGTATAGTATTATATCATAGTCGGTTGGGGCAGATTAGGGAGTTCTAGGCAGCTCCAGCCCAGATATTATGTGTAATATAATCTGCCAACTATTATATATAATATAGTCTACCGACGTTTCCACCTAATCATATGTCAATCTACACCGGCAACCCTCAGTCAGAGATTGAATAACGGCTAAAGTAGGCCAAGTGACTCTGTTGGAAACAGCTGGTTTGAGTTCTATCTCATCTCAGGCCGTCCCAATTTTAACTGGCCTGTGACAGGACCAGTAAGTGTCGGCGATATCACAGCCGTTCCAAGGTTGACTAGTGAGGCTTTGAAGTCGCAAAACAAAGTACAAAGTATTTATCCGGGACCCCAATAGTAGTAGTGCGGCACATCGCTTGAAAATGCCGTGGATATTTTTCTGTGCACGCCATGCACCGAAATGGGAACTGTGTCGGGTGACAGAGGAATATCGTGGCTGTAGGAGTTGGATCACGATGTTTGTTCGGCGGGCGTAAATTTGTGTCTTTACAGTAAGGCCATGTTGATTGATTATATGGACGACATCCCCTGGGAACCCAAACCAAAACTGATGCGAGCGTACGAACTAAAAATGTTTGACAAAAAAGGTTGCCTTCATTATGAAATCTAGGTGCACGGTGATCATGAAGTTTAAACAAATGACTAAACACACAGAGTAATATTTTATTGGCATGGTAAATAATAGACTCTTCATTTTCATTCCTTAACATTTTCTTCTTGTACTTAATGGAATGGATTTTGGCATTCTGCGACATGAATATCGTTTGCCAATATATATATATTTTCAATTTACGGCATATATTTGCTAATCTTGCAGCTACTTTATACGATTTACAGTATGGTCGAAAGGTTTTCGTTTTTGGAAACGGACGAAAATGCATGCGCGCGTGGATGTCATCTATATAATCAAATCAACATGGCCTAACGCTTCGAAGTCACAAAACACAGTATTTATAAATATATAAAAGTCAGAATACATACTGCATATATCTACTTTTGGTGTTCTCAACCATGAACATTCCCATAGGCAAAATATATCATCATCATCATCTTCCGCATTGCAGTATTTGGCACGGAGGCGCGCTGCCAATGTCCTCAACATTCTCTTATCTGATTCTTATCCGTACCTTTATAGTCGTACCTTAAGTTGTCAGCTTTGACTCTAATATGATTGAAATTTTGGACTGTTCGCCAACAGGCTGACAAAAAGCAATTCCAGTAGAGAAGGGTAGACAGGCTTTCAGGACGGTAACGGGCTTAGAAACGGCTCAAACTGTCATGTGTGATCTATCGTTCCAATCCCTGAAAGTACCGTTCCTAAGTCCGTGTCACACCAGGATGCTCGGTTGAACAGAGACACAGATTATATCTGACTACACAATACCATGTCTAGTAATAGACTCCGTGCCGCTAAACCAAAGAGTTATGCATTTTATAATTGGCTTGACATTTATTTGGATCAGACCTACTTACTTGTGAGTGAAAATGTACATGTTGCCGTTTTCTGTTTTGATCCAGGAGCTTGAGTAATACAAGTACATATGTAAATGCCAAGGAAACAGTAAGGTACAGATTTCAGAAACATGGACGTCTTCAAGTACAACACAAAACGGTACCTCAAGTTCTGACCGTTCCTGTGACCATCTTCAGAACGAATGACCCACTTTTCTGCATGCCCCTAGGAAAACATCACTTTTCAGCTTTATCCACACCTCTTTACCAAAGGGTGGCTTTATCACTGTACGCCCACGCCTTACATTTAGCTACAGTAAACTTTACTTTGGCTATAGCGGAGTCAGCTTCCGTACAATACTCACAGCTTGTAAATGTAAAAGAAAGGAGCAGCAGTATCTTAAGTAAAGTTTACTGTAACTAAAAGCAAGACGTGGGCGTACAGTGATAAAGTAATCCGTATTAACGCAAATTCCTTGGCATCGTTCTTACAATTTCCATTCCTTACCGTATCTATCGTATCACACTACATGCATCTTTGTGGGGAGTGCTGACGTTGCATATTCTTGTTCAGTAGCGATGAACAATTACTGTCCACTCTGAGAGGAACAGCCATTCAAGATAAGCATGGTCCCGAGATGAGCGTGAATAAAAGCTTGGCGTAACAAGTTCTTTCCGTGCATCTATAGATTTGTGACCCCAGTGACCAGCGTATCTTAGCCCCTGTCTCATTAGAGTTACGTCCTAAGTGCAGCCGTCCATCTACCTCCTACAGTATCGCAGTTGGAGTGACCTCTGGTTGTAACCCATCCAAAAGATGAGTGTGCTTTTACGGTGGGCGCTACTTGTGTAACAGTGTGCGTGTGCGTCAAACCCACACGGTTATGAGATACCTTAAAATTGCTATCTCTTTTCGTGACCGCGATGTTACAGCTATATAATATTTCATGTCATAATGTCGTGATGTGGGACATTCCATTTCTATAGCCAAGACAGGGGTGGGAATCGGAAACACTGGGTTTATTTCTTATATGTAATATATATTAGTAGGGTCACAAGAAAGGTATAAGGCCAGATTCAGATGTTCCAATCGAAGGACACACTGAATTAAGTGTAGAAACGTTTCCAACAAGTTCTTCTGTGTGAACAGATTTTTCTTAAGTCAACTTCAATGGTCATGCCCCCCCCCTGCCTTCTCAGTTGACGAAGACCTGTGCATGCTTATTTAGGCATATAGAGATCAATAGTTTCAGAAAATATTCAACCGCTATGGCAGAATTCGTGTGCAGCCTCAGTCGATGGCCAGTGAGACATAAAGGTGTGAGGTTTTATATATTTGTTATTGCGGCTACTTAAATCTAGGCCCTCTCATAATATTTTTATGTGGCAATTTTCTGTGACGGTATTGTGGATAGATACAGTATATGATATGTTGTTAATTGGTGTGTTCTTTCATGTCATAGGTTTGATGATTAACTTTGTAGGAATCACTCTTTAGAAGTATAGGATACTATACTTCTATAGAGCGATTCCTACAAAGCTTAATCATCAGATATCATTATTGACTCAACAAAAAGTACAGTGACTTTTGTATAATGGTCTTCTACAATTGAAAATCTAAGAAAGCTAAATACATGTATGAATAACGTCATCCTACGCACAGAATATATGCATGCGGCAAACTACGTACGGAATATATGTCAGCGGCAAAAATGAAGGTTTAACTATTCTCTATCATGATATTATAGAGGAACAAGTAACGAGTAAAATGTATGCCACACGGATAAGTATCACTGAACCTACCGCCATCGCCATATTCAGTTAGAAATGATCGTTGATGGGCATTGCATTCACTTCTAGTCTCGTCCGGAAAAGCGATTTAATGACGTCAACAGAAACCGTTACAGAATTCAAACTCAGACACGTTCACGTCAGTGTGATGTATGCACGTCTGGTAAAGACGTTATAATATTGAACGGTTCCGAGCGGAGAAGAGTCTCACGGTGTTACGGCATCTCATCAAAAAGGTATTCAAACGGCGCTGCCAGGCCTGGATTCAATCGATGTTCCGAGTTGATTTGGTTCACTGGATCCTGTAATCACTCCCACTACTGATTAAAGTCTGCAGTATAAGGTAGTTAGGTAATGGTGCTGCTGGCTTGAATACGAAGTGGTCTCGCTACACCATATATCCTTGTACACCCGGTATACAAAAATAAGACAATGGGCACGGGGTTGTGTTTCTCTATTTTTGCACCAAGTAAATCAGTCTAAAAGAGCTTCATTAATAACAGTACATATATACATGTATACATATATATATTGTATATACATGACTTCACTTCTCTTCAGGGTGTCTTACGTTGTAACATGTATTACATAACATACGTATAACGTTAATAATTATGACATACACATTGCATAAAATTTGAGTACACAATATATACAAATATACATTCTTCAATTCTACCAGTCCCGTATAATTCTGTTTGCGTCCGTTTGCGCTTTCAGTCTGTCTTTGATGAGTGTTTGGAATGTGGAAGGTACAGATGTTCTGACGTGATATGGAAGAATATTGTACGATTTCGAGCATCTATAAAAGAGAGACATAGTAGCTGCTGATGTTAAAAATTATTCCTTGTTGCAGATCTTGGTGCTGTAACTGTGCTGGTTAGTTACCAGCTCTACATGTAGTCTGTTGTTATGTGTTGTTGGTTGATTATTATGGAACAGCAATTCAGTGACTAATTGATTTATTTCAATATCGACATACCTTAAGAGAGCTTACCGATCGCGATGAGGCTTAAGTATGACGTGTGCACCGCCTAACGGCGTACATTGTCGTATACTAATTATCATATAGATGTAGAGGATCCTATTCACAGTTAAAATAAAGATGGAAGAAAGGCAGACAATTTTTAGTGACATTTCGTTCAGTAGTTTACGATATTATATAAAGGAAATGGTCTCAGGAGCAATACTTGTGTATGCATGCGGCTGTGTGACGCCAACACCTCGCCTACACAGTGCATATGATTTGTTTGCCATTGATATTTGCGTGTGCCTTTCATTTGAAATAATATCTATGCATCTGTGAGCACGTTAACGTTGTAATTTGGGTGCCACACCAGTGTGAAACGCATTCAATCAAACGAAAAAATTTGTTTAAAGATTTTGCTTCAAATTTCGCCTTTGTTTTCCTTGCAGCCGAGATGGGGAGTCTTTTGGAGATGCAGAAGCTTCTCAAGAAAAAGGACGAGAAGATCAGAGAACTTCAGGTTCAGCTGGAGAGAAAAGATGCCGAAATCATCGAGCTGAAGACAAAACTGGACAAATATCAGGTGAGCAGACATTCCGGGTTGAGAATATAAGCACGTCGGCAGAACGTACTGCACCTGAGCAAAACCCGTAATGTATTGGGCATAGAACTTCGGCAGGACGTCTCATATAAGGTTGTATTCGCGTATTTAAGGTTGATATCCCGTCTGTAGTTTCCAAATGTTGTGTCGGAAAAGATATCTTCTGCAACAGACAAAATCTAGCATGTAGTCTGTGACGTCCTCCGTCTCGTTCAAATGTTCAAATGCCTATTTTTCTGTCCCTCAGTCCGTGTTTAAGCTTGGCATTGCGGTCATGAGCGGTACTGCAGGACCATTTGTGATGTCCTCCGTCTTTCTCAGATATGTTTTTTTTTTCAAATGCGTGTTTTCCTGTCCCCCAGTCCGTGTTCAAGCCCGGCATGGCGGCCATGAGCGGTACTGCAGGTCCGGCGGCGGTCAGGAGGCGTGCCCAGGGCATCTCAGCAGAACCACAGTCCATGAAAACGTTACAAGACGTCACCAAGCAGAAATTCAAAAAGTACATCAAGTCAAAAAGGTAAGCCAATGCATACACTTAAGTGTTCCTCTATAGCAAGCAGTTTTTAGCAAGCTGAATATATATAGATGATGAAAAATGAATGAATGAATGAGTGTTTATTTTTGTGTCATTGTTTTTTTTTAGCCTTTTTATGTTTACCTTCGAAGAAGATATTGTTTTTGCTCTGTTTCTTCCTCTTCTTCTCCCCGCAAAAATAAAGTCAATGACCTGGACTAGACGTCTGTCGCCATGGTAACTAGCATTGTAGCAGACACCCTGTGGTATTAGGTTACATTATATACTAGTAGCAAGAGGGGGTGCCCACCATATATTATATATGAATGTGTTTAAGTAACAATAAACAGAGCACTAGTTTGTTAGGCTAGACCAATGAGAAGGTAAACATAACGTGCATTTGCTTTTTTGCTAACGTTACCTTTCAAGTTCAAAACATAATTTTGCAATTTTGGGCACAAACTGTACTTCTAATCTGCATCAACAAAATATTCTTCAAATAATCACTTATATAAGCATGAGTGCGTATATAGATTTGATAAGTAAAACAAATTACGTAACAGGCTTACGTAAAAGAAAATAACATTTTTCACTCACTTGATACGATAGTTTATACAGTGACAGCGAGAAAGATATATATGAACACGTTTTTAGGCAGTAAGAATGAAAATTGGACCTTGTGGCTACATCAATCATGTTCCCAGGACACCTGAGGCTACATCAATTACGTTCCCAGGACACTTGGGGCCAAGGACGCTACGTGTGGTGAACATAATCGAGTTTGGTCTGGTCATTTCAAAAATCAATGCAATTTGCTTTAACGACTTTTGCGTCTCGGGTACGACTGTTATGCCTCAGGTACTCATAGAAACAAGGCTTACAGGATACTAAAATAGAAATATAATTTGAATAATGTATAATTCATTTTCTTGGATACCTACTTGTTTTCTTTAACAGGAAAGTTTTACATACTCAATAATTCCCCCTCATAATCAAATGGTATTATTTCCTTTGTCAGTTTTTTTTATAAATCATTCTTTTTATCAATTTTCACAAACACAAAATAAACATAGAGAAAAGCTGATACTGAAAGGACACGTGGAAGACCAAAAAACAGATAAATAAAACCAGAAAACAATGAGGATAATGTATAACGGATACACATTCGTATATAAGGAAAGAATAACAAACGGAATCTGTATTATGTTGTCCACCATGTTTTAAACGCTAAAACTCTTTTCCCCCATTTACCAATATATTTTTTTTATTATTCATCCTTTTTGTTATAATGTACTCTAATCTATGAAAGTATGATACATATAATCTACAAGCAAGGCTTGTAGATTAAAAGAATATCGGCGGTTAAAAAAATAAATTGTTTGTCTAGAAGCATAATTAAATTGGAAGTTGCTGGAAGTCAGTATTTATACCTTTCATTTGCTTTATTGAGAAACCGTTCCCCACCTCTCAGCTGGTTGACAGTCTCCGCACGTCTGTTGTAAAGAGCTCTTCCGTGAAGTAGCATGTTAAGTTGATTGAAGTGCCACATGCTGTCTCTATACGCGGGCACGGGGAGGGGCAGATAGCTTTCACTCTGACGTCAAACCGATGGTTTAGGAATCATTATGTCTTGCTCCCTGGTTGTCTGAGCCTGTTATTG